GCGGCTCCCCGAGCGCATACTTGTTTACGCAGGTTCCGATGGTGACGCCATCTGGCCCGCAGGGTGCGGGGCGCCGCGGCGGTGACGTCACAGGCCCGATGACGTCACGGCGGCCAGGGTGTCCGCCCCGGGACCCGCGGCCCCCGCCTTTTGTCTTAACCCGCCAGGGCATTGTCTGAGATGATGACGACCTAAGTAACTTTCTTCTGACTTCGCTGACACGTACTGGATGTCCCGCCGAGGGCTGGGGTTCGGGAACGCGAGGTTCTGATCCATAATAAAAAGTCGGTTGAGGGTGACAGCCTAAATGCTAAGTGATCACGATCGGGGCGGGCCGGACGCGGGGAGGGGACAGGGCTGGGCACTGGGGGCTGCCCTTAGCGTCCTCCTGTCCACGGCGTGTCCTGCGCAGGGCGCTGCAGCGTGGCCAGCTCCCGCTCGCTCGGCTCAGCCTGACCTTTCCTCCTCGCCGCCAGCTGGGAGGAATCCGAAGAGCCAGCCAAGTCTGGGCTCCTCACCCACACAGGCCTCCCCCACCGGCCCCTCCTCCCTCCGCCTTCGGGGGTTGGGGACAGTAGCTGGCTGATGAGAGCAAAGCCACCCACCCGCCCTGCTGACCGGCCGGCTCTGCGCTCCTTGGGGATGTGGTGGGCTTCCGATTAGGTTCCTGGCAGCTTTTCTTGGCCAGGGTGGATGGCAAGGCAGGCTATTCGAGAGGAGCCGTGTGGGCCCCAGGCAGCCCCGGAGCCTGCAGGCTGGGCTACGCCGCAAAGGCCCACCCTCCTGGCTTGTGCCTGAGAACAGGTTCCACTGGGGAGCCGTAGACCCTTCTCGCGGTGGGGGACTGGCTGCACGCTTGCTGCAGACAGAGCCCTGTGCAGGGCCACACGGGCACCCCCTAAGCTTTTGAGGCACTTGCCCTGTCCAACACCTCTCAACCAGCTCCCTGGGGCTGGGTGCAGTACCCCAGGACAACAGATTGGCTCCGTGCGTGTGTGATCCTCAGTTTTCCCACCTGTGAAGTGGGGGCAGTACTGCTGCCAGACTCCCTTCTGCCTCCAGGGATGACTGAACGAGAGAGTGAGATCATGTCTGGGCATGGCTCTGAGAGCGTCAGAGGCATCTTGAGATAAACACCAGACGGTCCAACCGCCCTAAACCGCAGCTCCACTTCCCCCCACCCCACCCCTGTTCTCACCAAGAGAGCGCTCCCCTCCTGTCCAGCGGCCCTGCGGGCCCTGGCGGGGAGCGCCCTCCCCAGCACCAAGAGGCTTGCTTGGGTTAAGCCTGGGAGACACACAAAGTGGGGGGTGGGGGGGCAGATACAGAAGCTCTCCGGGATCTTCAAATCTGCCCCGTGGCCTCCGTTCCCAGAGGCCAGAGCGGGCGGCCGCCCCACCTATTGGACATGAGTGCCCCAACTGGCGCACGTGAGCTGGGCGGCCTGGGGTCAGCAGCCTCAGCACAGGAACGCAGACATGGACGTGGACATGGACATGGACGGGTGAGCAGGGCAGGGCAGAGATGTCTGTAGCCCGAGATTCCTCTCCAGGGCAGCAGCCCTGGCTCTTGGCCGAGTGGTCAGCAGGAGGGGGCAGCCTGGTGGCAGAGCCTCCTTGCTGTTTGAATGACCTTGGGGGGAGCCAAGGTCAAACATGGACAAACTGCCGGACCCAGGGATGGGAGAGTGGGCAAGCCAGGACGTCTCAGTGGGACGCAGTGATGGTATTGTCTTGGTTTTGCCGAGGGCACTGGGTTTATGGAAGATGTTTGTCTTAAGGGAAGCTGGCGGAGGGGCACCTGGGCGCTTTCTGTGCTATCTTGGTGACGCGGCCGTCGGACCACAATTATTTCAGCACAAAACATCTGAGGATTTTAGAAGAGAGAAGGGAAAAAAGGCATTGACTACGTATACGCCGAGCTCCCTGCCAGCTCTGTGACGGGCGTGTCAGTGGTGTCTGGGCTGGCGGCAGAAGGTGGACATTGAACTGCGGACCCCGGTAGAAGCAGAGGCCCAAGGTTCTCCCGGGCACTGGTGCCCCAAGCCGAGGGCCAGGGTCAGCCCCCACCGGGACTGGCTCTGTTCCCAGGCCCAGCCCTGGAGCAAATGGGCATTGACCCACCTGCTGTTTACAGAGACCAGATGTGAGGGTACTTCAAGAAGTTCATGGAGAACAGAATGAAAAAGAATTTTTTTTAAATCCATGCATAGTATTTTTCATAACACATATTTTCCACGAACTTTTAAAAAATACTTATTTTATTTATTTGAAAGAGAAGACTGTCACCCACTGGTTCACTCCCCCAAGTGCCCACACAGCTAGTGCCTGGGCCAGGCCAAAGCCAGGAGCCCAGAACTCAACCTGGGTCTCCCACATGGGTAGCAGGGACCCATGTACTTGAACCAGCACCGGCTGCCTCCTCCCAGGGTGCTCATGAACAGGAAGCCGGGACCTGGAGCAGAGCCAGGCCTCGGACCCTGACACTCCGGAATGAGAAGCAGGCACTCACACCGTCCTAACCACTGCACTGAAACCCCCATTCCCATTCCCCGTGAAACTCGCAAATCCTGCACCTACCTGGGAGGGGGGGTGGGGGTAGGGGGACAGTGCCTGGGCCGTCGGCACCCCTAATGGACACAGTTCAGAGCCTCACCCTCCCTTGGGAAGGGCCCTGGTCTGGGGTGATGGCGGGATTCGGCTTCAGCAGCTGACATGTCGGGAGGAGCGTGCCATTTGGTGCCTGATCGGCTCTAAAAGTGCACAAGCGGGAGCAGCGTCTCAGCGGCGAGAACTCTCACACGTGCGGAGCCTTGATCAGAAAACCTGGTTCAAATCCCAGATCTGCACTGACCTTGCTGGTGACCCCCACCTGCCGGCTCCCTCTTCTGGCGTGTGAAAGCCGACTGAAAGTGTCCAGTGCAGACAGGCGCATGGTAACATAAAGTTCTCCCAGTTTTTCCCTTCATACCAAGAAAACGTGAGAACCAGCGAGCTCTCTAAACCAGGAAGAAACCTAAAATCTGTTTTAGGGCCATACAGAAAGCGATTACAACAGTGCTGGGAGACACCAAGTACAAAACGTCCTGGATACAACAGATCCTTGCGGAGCGTACTAGAAGGAAATTTACCGACACAGTAATAGTGGTTGGGTTGTGGCCAGGGGTGAGTAGCGAGAGCCTTGAAGGTGAGTTTGTTATTTTCTAAAGGTTTTCAAAGCACTTTACACTTATAATAAAAAATTTTATTTAATAATAAAAAAACACACCATTCCCCAAACCAGAGCAGGAAGAATTAGGTATGACAAGAGCCAGGGTGTTGTCTGGGGCTGAGATACACAGGGAGGGAGTAGAAGGCAGAGCCTGGCCAGAGGGGCCATGGGGAGGAGACGGGAGCTGCCTGAGGTTGTGAATGAAGCTGTCCCAGGCAGCCGGACCTGGAGGTGGCTGTGGCCACAGCGGCAGATGGACTGGACAAGGGTTCCCCTGGGCCCCATGCCTGGGTCTCCGGGTCAGGGTGGGCAGGAGAGAAGGGCAGAAGGGGTGTGCCTTTGGAATCTGCAGCCACTGGGAGGAGAGAGGCCACCTTGCTGTTGGTCCCAGGGCTCTGCCTTCCATGGCCACACGGTCAGGAGCATCTCCACAAAGCGTCCCCCTGGGGGGGCGGGTCCATCTGCTCCTCCGTGGGAGGGGGCAGGGGCCCGGGCACCCAGAAGAAGAGCAGGCGGTGCTGTTTGAGGTCCCCATCTCCTCCCATCCCCCAACTCCTGCCCCAGAGCAGACTGCACGCCTCCCCTCCCTGCCCCCACGCT